TTAGAATATAAATTGACAAACAGAAACACACGCAATGGAGTATACATAATTTAATACAATAGAGAACAAATTTTACTAAAATATTTTTAAAATAGGGTATTATATTAGAAAAGAATAGAGTATATTGATAAAGAATAAATATATATTTTTAAACAAATGTTTCCTTCTGCGTGCAGTTTAATTTAGCTAATACATACATATATATATATATATATAGTGCGGGTGCATCTGCATGAGAAAGATGTTTGTACAAAGATATCACTTGATATGCAGACAAACACGTGATAGAGAGCAATGGCAAGCTTTTTTGATATGAATTCATTCGGCTCGTATAGACTTAATTTGGGCTTCTATTGTAATATTACCTATTGTTGGGAAACTCGCACCCAGAACGGAAACAAAATACATTCGCTTGTTAAAACTTTTGTACGTTTAACTGAAACAGTACATATATACATATAGAATAATGTACAATGTAAGCAGTTGAATAGGAACACGATCCTGAAAAGAATTCAATGTATATATATATATATATATATATAACCGCGCTCATATACTATGGTTGCAAATCATCAATTCAATATACAACAAATCCATATAATATTTTTCATTACTTATAGTCGTTAAAAATCGTTAGAGATGCAATTACAATAATTTATCTCATATCGCGACAGAGTGTTTGTATTTTTAAATAATAAATATTCTCTATTGATAAATTGGAATGCAGATTGCATAATATGTATATTGTATCTTGATAGGCTGTGAATTATGCTTTTGATAAATGTTTAACAAATACTGGCTTGTTATGGAGCGAGAGTATTATGCTATAGTTTTGGGTATAATGCATCTTCACAGATAGTCTACATTAATCAACAATGTTAATGACGTTCTGTTTGCGGATCGGAATTCGCCGCAAGTCCACCCTTCATTGTCATCATCTAACCGATCGTGTATGTAGCACGTATTATGCACTTCGACCCCTACATTGCAGGTACATACGTTACTATCCACAGAGTTGAATTACCGTGTACCACCCTTAGACAAGCCAAATCCCGATTAGAGTCCAGTTTGCAATATGTTTGCATAGACTATACACGAGAATAGAAGCACTCAAAACAAAGTACTACACCACGCATTCAACGTAAACTATCAAACTAATCCTTTTCATTAACAGAGGAGAATTGTGTATAATTGCTCCCTTTTCAGCTTTCTTTTATACAGCCATTTAAGGGGGGAACACCAGTTGTAACTTTCGAAAAATCAATTTTTTTTTTTGTGCATTTTCTTAAAGTACACATATTTAGAAATGTGTCTGTAAATTTCAAAGTTGATCCGGTGAAAAATAAATGAGATATACAGAACACTGCATCGGCGCGTCCCGTGGCTTCATACAAGGTGGCCAGCCATAACTGACCCTAACGACAGATGGCCTTTTCCTATGATTTAGAAACGGCAACCACTGCGGAAGAGTTATTATATGGTCCAAGAATCGATGACTCTTTGTAACTTGGAAACAAAATTTCTTCTGAACAAAAAAAAGTAAGTTGAAACTTTGAATGCGTTTTTCTCAAAATGACATTTTCCAAGTCGGTGACCACGATTACTCGAATACCATTAAACCGATTTATTTAAAATTTAGTGTGCTTCATTTACACATATAAGTCTAGTTCGTGATCGAAGGATTTTTTTTTTTATGCAAAACTTTTTTTTATATAGCTGAAAATCGACCGTATTTTTTTAACGAAAATCATACTTTTGACTTTGACAGGTCGCCATTTTGTCAAATTTTTTTTTTTTTTTAAATCCTTCGATCACGAACTAGATAATCTTATAATAAATGTAAATCAATTTCATTTTTGTATTTCAGACGAAGTATACTTGCAGAATGCTGGTCACCGCAATTCGCCTTTTTTCTTAAGACGCCACTTCAATGGCTCATATCTCCAAAAGTTTTTGTTAAAAAAATTTTTTTTTTCTTTTAAATTACAGCTTTTTACATGTACTTTTAACTAATAAATAGTATTCTTTAAAAAGATTCATTGTTCTTTTGGAAAATATTCTTGAAAAAAGCATTATTTTTTGAGTTACAACTGGTGTTCCCCCCTTAAATAATGAAAACATTTATATCCATGAATAATCATAGCAATTATACGATTCCATTCTTTTTATCTTTCTGATAATGAGGCATTTTGAAATCCAACGAACAAAATGAAATGTGTTTGTTGATAATGTTGGTAAATAGGAGCGAAAATTTCTTCTTATTTCTAAATAACATATGATCCTGAAACGATTGGTTGCTTTGAAGAGTTATTCTTGATTCTTCTTGTTGGCTTGGCTGGGTTCGCGCTCCTTTCTCCGTTTCTTCTCTTCCCACCTCTTGGTCCTCCTTTTCCACCACCTCCTCCTCCTTATATACCTCCTCTCGCACCCTCCATCTTTTTCTTCCCGGGGCTGCTGCTGCTGCTTTATAAGACGACAAAAGAACATCGCGGCAGAGTCAAGATGGCGGATCCGAGGCAGCGACTGACTGTGCCTATTGTTGCCACGAGCAGAGAGACAAAATGAACCCGATTGTTAGTCCTGGAGGCATCATAATGAACGCCCATTCATCGGTAGACACCAAATGAGCTCCCGCGTCTTGTCCCATGGCTTTGTCTACGATACTTTTAATTTTCTTGTTTTGTCCCCCCCCACCTCTCTTCTTTTTACTGCTGCACCTCTACACCCACACTCACACACATATATACACCTTTGCTCATCCCTTTTGTCGGCGTCCTGTGGCATGTTCCTTTTGCCACTGCGCAGAATGAAAATATTATTGCTTGATCTGCGTCATGCATAAATGCATCGATGCCCTCCTTTGTCGACATTGCCTCCTGCTAGCGGCTGAACAAACAACGATATTCATATTATAAAGTCACTGGCTTATTATATTGCATATATATAATTTATGTACTCATATATAGTGTTCTACCTTCGTTTCTTATGTAGATAATATATGTATTCTTGGTTATGTAATACATATATTATCTACATAAGATTTGGTACACGGATGACAAGTCCTTTTCATCTTCGGGCTAATTATCACAGTCATCTTTTCATTGTCAAATTTTGATGATCTTGAAATTTATTGTCGTCACGAAGTAGTATAAAGAGCTCCCACCTTTTACGTCTGCTAAATACAAAATGCATGCGCAAATTTACATGTCCGTCATTTGTATTAAATCATTTCTCACCTGAGTTGCAAAAGTTTCTCCGTAAGAGCGCTTGTGTCGCCAACTAAGAACGACTCGGAACAGAATATGAAAAATCATTTTCTATGGAAGGCGAAAGGTCCTTAATATTCAACTTCGTGATTGTCCTTATTCTTAATTGTTGTTTTTGATTATTTTATTTTTTTATTCGTCAGAGTGCGAGGGTTCTTACTTGCTTCTTCACATAATATCTCTTTTGATTAGAATTTTCAAGATGTTTTTATTCATAAGTTCTAAAAGATAATTTAAAACAAGCGATTGATAATATAATTATAATCCAATTTCTATATTGTTTGGAGGAAACTTACTACTTTTCTGTTATATATGTAGAGTGATGTCTCTAAATCTAAACAATAATATTTTTTTTTCTTTGATATAAATGGGATTATCGAAAAAATGTAGTCAGGTATTATACATATATATATATATAGTAGTCGCGAAGTTTAATTTCTGATGTATGTAGTTCAGGAAGGGTAAACGTCAAGGCAGCGGATAGTAAAAGCAGTTGATCTGCCAACCTTCGTCCCATTCAATTGATTTCGAACCGAAGTTTCTAAACACTTGGCTCTATTCAAAAAGGACCAAGGAGTACAATATCTCCTGCGTGCATCGACTGAATCCCTTCGAGATTGGAGTTCATTCACTCACTCGCGCGCAGTATTACATCAAAACGAATAAAGGCTTCCATCAATAGCAAGAGTTTCATACAATATAAATATATATATATAGATTTTGTACTTTTTTTAATTCTTTAAGAACTTTAATACCATCAAAGAAATCATTATATTTATAACATTTTTAATATTTTAATCATTATTTCATTTCTTTTAAATATATTATTATCATTATTATTAAAATAATTAATTTTATAATGAAGTATTTTAGAAATTGAGAATTATTCTTATTTTATTCTAACACTATAATTAAACTATTTTGAAAAAAATGTTAAAATTTATATTCCCAAGTGCGAAAACTACACAGCTCAATAGTGGCCCAGTATTGGCAAAGTTTGCACCGAGCCTTGGCAGACAATATTGGGCCGACTCTTGTGGTGCTAAGCGCGGCTAGACGTCGGCAGCTAAGTATCAGACGGCCAATCTTGGCTGTCAAAGTTTTAAAAAATTATAATTATTAATTAATTAACTAATTAATTAATTATACTTTTATAATGTAAGTCCTGACAGAAAGCACAATTGTTTAAATATTTGAAAATTTCTAACGCTCACGGGAACCGAACTCGCAACCTAACGCATCGATAAGTCTAACACGTTAACCACTACACTAAGGAACATCTTTAAGGAAGATTTCAGCCGTTACTGCGCCATTACTGGCCCAAGATTCGTTTCAACTTTGGACAAAATGACTTGTCAAAATAAATTCAACATTTCAGTCGTCAATGGGCCAATAGTGACCCAGTAATGGGACAGAGTTCACATCAATTATGGAAAATTAGAATTACCAAGTATTGGTGCCAATATTGGCCCAGTAATGGGACAGAATTAGGTTCAATAATTGCAAATTAGAGTAAACGAGAATCGGTGTCAATATTGGCCTAATAATGAAACGAATTGATCGCCAGTACTGGCCCAGTAACGTTTATCATACTTCGGCAGACATTGGGCCAATGTTGGGCCGTATTGGCACTTCGCACTTGGGTTTCTATAATTATATATTAGAAAGATAATATTAAAAAATATATAATATACATTTATGTATGTAATAATTATTTATGTTTATTTGTTATAGGTACCTATATATATATATATACATCTTCTTCTTCTTCTTCTTCATCTTCTTTGAGGCAAATCTTTGGTTCAACATGTGGTACTAAAAACAGGTATGTATTTTCAATTAAGTATGACAATAAAATAAAACCTTGCGTCAAGCTCGGCAAACTTGCACAAACCTTGCTACAAGCTTACCGTACAAGCTTACTGAGCAATCTTGCAATAATCTTATTATATGTAATCTTGCAGTAATCATACACTGCAATCTTGCGGCAACCTTACACTGCAATCTTTCGGTAAGCTTACCATGCAAGCTTGGGTCAGGTGGAACATTTGAAGCTTATAGTAAGCTTTTGGCAAGTTTGCCGTGCAAGGTTGGCAATATTGCGCGGCAAGCTTGCGTGATATCTGGAGGGTTAAATTAGGTATAGAATTCATTGGTTATTATCAAAGAATAATTTTTTTTTATATAACTTTTGAATTCAATATTATATAGTGGTGACTGATTCAATTAAATATATTTATAAATATAATTTTTTTTAAATATAAATATAAATTTTTTATTTATGGCCATTTCGATTATATAATATGTTTTCGGTCATCGATTTTAATTAACAAGTTTAGTGAGTAAATGAAGTCAGTTTATAAATAGTCCATATAGTAATTTACTTTGAGAATACTTATATAAATGTAGGAATAAAGGAACTTGCTGTGTGTTTGAATAAACTTGAAACACACCGCTCGGTGGCTAATTGTAACACCTTTTCAATCTTCATCTTGGTTTGCAAAGGGGTTTATAAATAAGAAAAAATGTTCCCTTTTCTCTTCAACCCTCGAAGTTGCGCTTACAACCCTCTTCTATTTCAAATGTTAAAAGTATATATATATATATATATATATATATATATAATACTGAGAGAATAAGCAAACTGAAAAAAGTCCCATGAATCTCAAGTTTTGTCGTATGTTGTCCCTCTGTAACCGTGGCTAATCGCATAAAATCGAGACGAAAGTGATCGATATTCCGTTCTGACTCGAATTAACGTGAATTTCCTGCAGTATATCAAACATTCGACTTAAACTTACCTGCGAGACCCGCAGCAATCAATTTTATTTCATTTTTCTACCTCTACCATTTTTTTTATAAATCAACGTTTTCAATTATGTTTATGGTTGTCTCTTTATTTTCATTGATTTTCTTAGAAGCCCGTGCAGAAATTAAATGTCGATGCGGGTATTGACCAAATTTTTCTAACTCTGGTGTAGCTTATTCCAGATAAACTAACTAGTTCCCGAAAAGGCTGTTACGCTGTTTTCCGGTACACTTGAAAAAGTATCATTTCTACCCTGTAAACGATTTAAAAATTTTACGCAACAATTTTACGCTAGTTAATAATTTTTTTTACGAAAATAATTTTAAAAACTTATATTTACATTTTTAAACTAGGAAAACTGGTTAGGTCCCAACCAGTGCCTTCTTTTGAAGCTAGTGAACCCTCCTTTTCTAAATAGGGTTATATTTAGGGTTCGCTCAAGAATTCTGGTCAAACCCCTAAATTAAAAAAATAATTAGTAAAGCACAAATACATAGATTCCCTTTAATTGTTAATAACTTTTTTATTTTTTACGAAAAGTAATGTTATAAACTTAGTTTATTTATGTTTTATTACAAACAGGGAAAACTGTTGAAGCCCTGACGAAAACCCCATTTTAAAATGTCAAATATATAATAGAAATTTAATTAAATTTTAACAAAAATATTGATTATTACTTTTGATAAAAATTTTTTGTATTCAATGTATATAATAAAAATAATTAAAAAATGAATAATATTTTTATTTAAAAAGCATCGATAGAAAATAACAGAATTTTTTATGTATATATAATATGGAAAAAGTAAAAGATTAAAATGCACAACTCAGAAAGGTGAACAACGTATAAAAAAATTTAATTCGATTATTGTTTGTTTTATTGAAAAACAAGCTTTATTTATATCAAATATAATATATGCTACTCAAATATTATAAATAGAATATATACATTTTGTAAGAAAATTTACATAAGAAATAAAGTTTTTTTTTTAATTTTATATATTTACACAGAAAAATTTCTATTTAAAAAGAATAAAGCATCGACATGTGTATGAATATTTAACAGAATAATAATAATAATATTGATAATAATTAATAATTGTAATAATAATAGACAACAAAATTAATAAACAGAAGAAAAGTATTAAACGTATTAATAATATATAAGTATAATAATTAATGGCGTTATCAGTTGTTTAACTTTTCTGTTATGTTATTGCACTTAAACAAAATTTATTGCTTTTATTCAAAATTGGAAAATCAAATTTTTATTCAAATTATAGATACAATTTATTTGATTTAAATTAAATTATTTTTATCGTCGAGTTAAATAACTATTTATTTGTATTTCTGAATAAATAAAATATTGACGAAGAGAAAATTTTTATTTAACGCAAATAAAATTTGTTTGAAACAAATAAATATTTATTAAGAAGTTCATATATTTTTTTTTTCCTCTGAATGTAGAACTTATTGTTAAAAACAATTTCCATTTTATCGAAATTAAAATGAATTCATTTTAATAATACAATTATTTTTTTCAAAAATCGAAACAAAAAATTTCGTTTGTAGGACATTATTCGAGTCAAAAATTTTTACAAAGTAAATAAAAAAAAAAACAAATCATGGAAAAAATATTTTATTCCAAAAATCTTGTGCGTGACAGGAAACAAATTAATCATTCTTGTGAGAGATCTTTTATATGTTTATAAAAAAAAGAAAAAATGTTGAGAGTAAAATTCTTGAAATGTAATAATAACAATATTAATTTTGAATCGTTAATGAAAACAGCTGCTATATAGTCAAGAAGACTGTCAACACTGTATATATGTTGGTCCTATATATATAATAGAAAACACGTGGGTTTGGCCACGAAAACGTGTAAAGTCACGTTGTTATATTAGGAATCACTAACTTGGCTTCATCCTGAACAACCATCTTCAATATTCCTAACCCTGTTAATCTTTTATAGAGCTTCTAAGGTAGCGTGATTAATTCTATTTGCCTGTGCGACTGGTGCACCTAGCATATAATTTATTATTTTCTTCTTCTTCTTTTTTTCCACTTTCATTGTAGTTAGCAAAAGGGTATATATATATATATACGTTAGCTAATAGTATTGCTATTCATGCGATTCCACCAAAGCTATCTATTCTTATATTATTCCTCATGTCAGAGACGGAAACTGAGTTTTTTTTTAAGCTCAATACATCCATTGACCTCGATCGGACCAACTTAAATAATGCGATTTAGTGACTGTGCAGCTTTGTATATATTTATCGCAGGTGCCATGATAGAAAATTATTATACGATTGATTATTAGCTTTACATTCAAATTCTATATAGTGCTGAATGCATCTTTTCTAGGTCGAGAGGCCAAACTATATAACATCTCGAGAAATCTTTCATATATGTCTATATGTTCTGTTAACATATATATTATATTGTCGTTGATCAATATGATCAATGATGTTTAAAAATTAAGATTCAATTTTTATTATTCCTCGAAGCTATGCTTCATTATAAATTGTTAATAGAAATTTTATTTCTCTTACTATATATATATATATATATAGTTGAGAAAAAATTCCAAGTAGGAACGCAATTTATAAATGAGAGAAAAATAATTGGAGAAAATATATTATACAACTTGCAAGATTTTATTATATATATATGTTTGTCTTTTATATTAATCATCAAGAGAGTGTTACTATCATTCTTGTTAATTATTTTCACCTTTTATTATGTATAGAATTTAATACAATGTTTGTCAAACATATTATAAAATGTTCTCGTATGTTTTCTATATTTAAATGATCTCATAATTTTGTGAATAGAACATTTTATTTTAAAGACTTAGATTTTTTTTGTATACAAGAACACTGTTTGAAATAACCCAAATAGCACGTAAGCTTGCAGCAACCTTGCGGCAAGCTTGCCGCGCAATATTGCCAACCTTGCAAGGCAAACTTGCCGCAAGATTACTACAAGCTTCAAATGTCCCACCTGACCATGCATAGTAATCTGACCTATAAACATTGCAGTGTAAGATTAATGCAAGATTGCACAATAACATTATCACAAAATTGCTCTGTAAGCTTGCACGGTAAGCTTGTAGCAAGGTTGGTGCAAGATTGACAAATAACCTTACTTTGAAACTTAAAAAATTTTTTTTTTAAATGTTTCGTTTAATTTATATAATAAAAATATATAAATTAGACGGAAAATTAAAAAAAAAATTTTTTAGTTTCAAAGTAAGATTATTTGGCAACCTTGCACCAACCTTGCTACAAGCTTACTAAGCAATCTTGCGATAATCTTATTGTGCAATCTTGCAGTAATATTACACTCCAATCTTTCGGTAAGCTGATCATGCAAACTTGGGTCAGGTGGGACATTTGAAGCTTGCGGCAAGTTTACCGTGCAAGGTTGGCATTATTGCGCGGCAAGCTTGTCGCAAAGTTGCTTCAAGCTTACGTGCTATCTGGAAAAACTGAACTAGAACAAAATGGAAAATTTCTACACCTATATATTGTAGGTCAGTCCAAAAATATTTTCATTAAAATTTTTATCCAATATTTTTCAAAATAATCGATAATTTTTTATCTGAAACAAATTTTTAACTTTAAAATTATTTTTCAGTGAAAATTTGTTCAATTTGAATTTGTCTTATTAATATTATAGAAAATTATATTTTGTGTTTCTAAATATATTTGATTGTTGTTTCATATATATGGTATTGAATTTTGTTGGAATATAAATATTTAATCTCGATTTAAATTACACGTACTGAATAGAAATCGTGAAATCGACCTTCTACTTTTCCATTGAACAACTAAATAGTAAGTATACAAGAGAGTGTGCTTCCCTCAATTGTGAATTCTGAAAGCTGTGCGAAATCCTGGATGGCTGGAACGTTTCAAATATTTGACACTTTCTGGCTGCAGATTTTTCGTGTTGTACGTTCATATATACACATAAGAATCATATAAGTGTGTATGCGTGTGTGTATGTATGTA